GCTTTCCAAATAAATTAAACGATTAGATAGGTTAATGTAAAGGAATTGCCAAATGTGAGCCGACATCAGTTTTGAATCATTTATTTTAATGGAATTTTTTGAACATGGACTGTTAGTATATTCAGTAAAATATAACAGACGACTATTTGAAGATTCAAACAGCGACAATAGTTTAACGATGTTTTGACGATCGAGCGTTTTTACTTTAATTTGACATCATAAAATTATCTTAAACACATATATTCTACACTGAAGAGAACCCAATACCAGGATTGAAACGTCTGTATCACATTTTTTTAATATACATTTTGAATTACACACGAACAACTGGTGTCGGCTCACATTTGGCAATTCCTTTACATCAACGTATCTAATCGTATGAAGTAGTAATTACATTATGTACTTTTTTTAATTCAATGTATCGTCCTGCCTATCCTTTATATCGTGAACTCACATTTATGTATCTTAATTGTTACTTTCGTTAAAGAGAACACACAAAACATACCTGATGCATCTCGTGATACAAAAATTTTAATTTTTTATTTACAGTTTACTTGTCATATTTCCAAGTAAATGCCGAAATGTCATCTAACTTAATAAATCGATCTAAAGAAAATATTACTTATAGAGAGAGAGAGAGAGAGGAGCTGTAGTAATATATACTACAATAATACAAAGTCATATAAAATAGATTTGTAGAATAGAGATGCAACAAATAGTATATTTGACACATAACCGGCTACTGTATACCGAAAAAGTTATTTCATAAACATAATGCGACAGGCGCTCAACACTCCTGACCACGCAAACGCATCACCATGCATCGGGTGTATGTGTAACAGATCCGTAGGATTGACGAAAGATGACATGCTTTTTAAATGAACGAAATAACATGTTTTTTAACACGTTTATAATGTTTCACATATCCTTTTATTATACGTCATAATTTAATGATTCAAGATTTTATTCTTTATTTATCCATGCGTATACGTAATAACGTTCGTAATGATGCTATTATATTTTCTGTGTTATTGTACAATAAAAATTGAACAGTTTTCTATTTTTCTTGATCAGTTTATATAAATAAACAAATTTGGACTTCATTTATTGTGTTATTTAATACTATGGTCAAAATTTCATCGGTATTCCATTGTTACGTCCCGTAGACGCCACGATTCTTTTCTTTCGAAAGACGGCTCCACTCCGCGATTGACGATGGCATTTATGAGATTCGAGTGCAATCTCCTGTTAACAATCTGAAAGAATTAGAAGGCCTAAAAAG